AATGATATTTTACCGTCTTTCTCTTGTTCTCTAGTAAACTGGATATGTGGATTCTGATAGTTTAAGTGCTAAAGGAATGCGTCAATGTGTTCTAAGGGTAAAGCTGTTATGGCATCGTACGGAACCAGAATGGCAGCGGAGTACCATAAGATGCAAGGTCCTGTTTCTCGATATGTTGCATTACAATATCTGCAACAACCTCAGAGAGTTGAGAACCCATTGCTGTGCCGTGTAGCTGTTAATAATGTTCACCGTTAAACTGAAAAAATGTAGATTCGAAGCATAACTTCAATAGATCCATAATAACACAAGTAGGCAATGTAATTGAAGTTAGATGTTTCTAAACTATCGTCTTATATTTTTAGATATAGTCGTTTTGCTACAATTTCCGATGAGGAAATTGAAAAAAATGAAAGTAAATGCCATTCCTATCAATACTAAAAAGGCAACGAAGTATGGCCTAAAAGTTTTGCTAAAAGTTTTGCGTGAATTTGTCACGCAAACTAAAAGTTTCTGTTTGTTTGTTTCTATTGAATTATTGTATATAAAAATAAGTTGCTCTGTACACAAGTTGGTATATGCTAAAACATAGAGGATATTACATGGGCGCGCGGAGATACGAAATTTATCTCAGAGTGTTGAAAAAATCTCTCACGAGTGAGCGCAGCGACAGCCCCCATACTTTTTCATAATAGTCTCTTACATTTTCCAATCTTATCCCCCCAACCTTTTTTTTTTCTTTTCCCATACTCGTCTCTTATATTTTCCAATCTAATCCCCTCGTTTTAGGGTTGAAAGACGCCGTATGATTCATACTGATATCGATCATCCCATGGGCCATGGGCTCAAGCAAGTGAAAATCGACTCATTCTCTCTGGGCGGGAATTTGGACCAAAAGAGATTGCGGGTAAAAATTACTAAATTAGTTGTTGGTGTTACTAATAAGTTAAGGTTATTGGAGACCTTCAGGGGTATGTTTCGTTTAAGACTCTCTCTTCGCAACACTTAAAACAAAACTCCATGAAACTATATATCGTTTTAAAGGTCATATAATAGAGATTCAGAAAATAATATTATTTGAAAGCGATTTTTTAATTCCAAACAATGCCTGAGCCCTAAACACAAATCGGGCGCGCTCAGTAGAGGTGAATTAATGGACATGGATTTAGCGCGTATAGCAAAAAGAATTTCACTATGTGAATAAGGAAAAGATAAACTACAAAAGGGGGTGAGCGATTTTTTGATATTTTGCTTCTTTAAAAAGTTATTAAATTTTAAAGTTGGAACGTCGAAAAATTTCAGTGCAGGTTAATGTTTTACCGCATAAAAGACGAAATACTCCAAATATCAAAAATCGCTCACACCCTTTTGTAGATTATCTTTTGCTTATTCACATAGWGAGGTTCTTTTGGCAATACAAACTAACGCTATTTCCATTAATTTACCTATACGGAACCTGCCCGATTTGTGTTTAAGGCTCGCCATYGTTTTAAATTAGAAAATCACTTTGAAATGATATTGTTTTTGAAATCTTTATCATTTGAGATATATAGTATTAGGGGTTTTTATTTAACGTGTTGCGTAGAGAGAGCTTAAGACAAACATACCCCTGAAGGTTTCAAGTAACCTTATGACRAGAAACAACTGACGAAATGTACTTAAGTCTTCGGGTTTTGCAAAAGGAAAACAAAGGTTAAGYCATGAAATAGCTGTCCTCTCGCCAGCGAATAGCGGGTCCGTGCTGCACAGCGGAGGTGACCAATCAAGGACGCTAATTCTTGTGTATATACCACCGCAGCTTACAGCACTGCTCTATATCAAAAGGCTTCAGGGCAGCTTGCTTTTCCAAGCTATAAATGAATACATTCAACCCCTCTCCCCTCCTGTAGCGTACTGCACCCGCCTGAACTCGTATCTCTTCGCTATCCTTCTGAAATCCCTTTGAACATCAAAACGAACATTTGTGCCAAATTTGGTGCTTTAATCCACTCTGTAACTATTTTGATGTTAAGCCACTGGAACAACTTTATTTTAATGATAACTCGTTTCTTCAATCAAACACCGAGAGTCGATTTTATTGAACTCGAGCTCTCGAATTAAGTTGGCTTTTAATGCATGCTTTTCTATTGGTTATTCCTACAATACGCCTTTTAGACGGCTCTAGCAGTTCAGAGAATTGGTTTTACAATTTGCCTGATAGCTTACAGCAGGAATGTAGTTATTCATTATAATATAGTCATTACTAATTATCATCATATATTACTTGTGTGTTATGAAATCTGCCTAGTTTATTCTTTAATGCTTTAAGAATATGTAATCCCAGCTATACAATAATAATAATGATAATATTGATAATAATAATAATAATCCTAACTATAATAATAATAATAACAATAACAACAACAATAATATTATTATAATAATCCTAACTACACATTAATAACAATAATAATCCTAACTATACATTAATGACTCCAGAAAATATAACAAACTTTATATCAGTAATACGACCCCGCAAAATGTCAACCCTTCATCCCGGTGTACGGGTTGTAAAACTTCGGATTACTTTCGGATATCACGCGCACAGCTATCGGCGCATGGCGAGGATAGTCGATGTCATCTACGAGGCCGTAAAAGTTATTTTTTTATTAGCGCCGAAAAAAAACCCTCTTGAACCAGCAACGTGCACGCGATCAGTTAAAAACGATCTATATGATAAAAATCAATTAAATAAAACACTACTCTCGCTCTGATTGGTTCTTATAGCCCTACTAGCTTTGGCGATATTTCATAAGTTTTCTGACAACGGTTGCGAAGATGGAGCTTTGGACGCTTTTGGAAATTTTTCAAGATCGTTATTTTTGACTTATTTAATTGTTCTTTAACTACAATACCAATTAAATCAAAAACTTAGATAGGCTTAAAGTTTTCGTAGTTTTAAAAATAGGAATASCTCTATCGGAATCATTGAATCGACTGCGTGTCATTTGATTGATTTGATTTTTGTCATTTGTTCAGACTAAATTCACTCCATTCGTTAGTCCCGTTAATTAGTATTATAACTCACGGCGTGGGATTTTAGAAAAACCGAAATGGATGTTGTTTTTTTGTTTTTTGTTTTGTTTAAACATATAATCCAATACGCACTGATAATGATATAAACTCATCAATACATTTTGCCTGTAGTCGAGTAATTCCTACGGTTGTCACACCTCGTATGGTCCATTCCCTTAGATGTCCSCACACTTTAGTTGTATCTCTGTGTATAGCGTAAYTGATACATTTATCTGTAATCCCTCATCACTGAGCGTTTATAGATATATTTTAAGGCCGCAAATATGACACTACAAGGCATAATCTCACTGTTATGCTCTCATGCAGGTCAGAAATCTTGGCCGGGTCACGACTGAAGCAGAATTAATTTGAGTACATATTTTATAAAAATAGCAACTTTCAATAACCTATATACAATCGATGGAGTTACAATTAAAATCCGCAAATAAAAAACAGAGGATTCAGCGCTRAAATCACAGGAAGCCCAATCTCATATAACAGGACGATTTATAAGGCAATGTATGGGACAATCCACCACATCGTCCTGAAATCGCTACCAGACAACAATAAAAACACAAGGAACACCACATGAAGGTTTGGATTTATTTTCTTTATTTTTCACAGAGTTATAAGCTAAAGAGTAATTTCCCATACATTGCCTTATAAATTGTCCTGTTATATGAGATAGKGCTTCCTGTGCTGAAATATGACCACTTCTGTCTGAGATATGAAAAAACATATTAGTCAAAAAAAWATGCTTACGCTCAGTTAGCACTTTTTAAAAGCACAATGTGGTCTTTGAAARTACATAGTACAATGTATAACTATCATTATAAAATAGCTGTTATGAATGTCGTGCTCTGATTGGTTTGGAGCGCGTGCTTTATGAGAGCACATTGCACGCGCGCGCACTTTCCGTTGCTTCATTCCTATCTATTATTGTAATTTGTATTTTATAARAGAAATAAAAAACTTGCTTGCTGTGCTGTGTGCAGTCATAAAGCACTTGGGGATTCGCAGAACACTCGAGAAGTGTCCAGAAGCACTCCGCTACGCATCGTGCTTCTCCTAACACTTCTCTCGTGTTCTGCCAACCCCCGCGTGATTTATGACAGCACACAGCAAGCAAGCGCGTTTTCTATTTCTTCAATTAGGCCCGCACCCTGAATGGTCTAATTGTTTTAGTATGACCTAATATGTCAAAAACGGTTGGGGGKGGGGGGGGGGGGAGATTCCGGGGTATAGGGAATGCTCGTCGTATTTCTTGGGGTAAAAATCAGTAATTTGGTATCTTTTAATCGTCCGTTCCCGTTTTTTGTTTTTTTTTTGTTTTTTTTTTGTTTTTTTTTACTAAGAATTATTTCATGCTTGGGAGTAAAGTTAGTAGGACAAATGTTGAAAATCTTGCCGATATTACTTGGCAGCCGGTATGTCAGATTTATACTGTTTTTAAAATACTACTGTTTTTCAATTGAAATGGATACGATTAAATAATAAAATAATAAATGATAAAAATTACTTTATTAAAGTGTCTAGTAATTCTAGCGCTTTCGCACTAATTGGGGACACTTTTCGCTCACRCGCACTACCACTACATTTAATATTCTATGCACACAACGCACAACTCACATGTTGATTTTAACTCACATGTTGATTACTTGTGATAGAACTCCCCCCACCCCCTCGATTGCTAGCCTACCCAGCAAATACCCTTTTGAAATTTACGATGAATAACCGAGATTTCAAACAGCATTTTAGACCAAACCCAGGGCGCAAATATTTGCAATACATGTCTTCATAACATTCATCATCTGGTTCTAGTGTTGGACATTCATTAGGTGTTGGGAAAGATTGGGTAGGTACCATTGATTGTGTTGTCACGATGGGGAGTCGGGGAGTATTACTTCCTTTTCGGACTCATTGTTTTCCTCTAGACCAGACAAGACTTTCTCTGGATAAGAGTTTATTCGCTTGACTTTGTTACATTGTTGAACTCTGGACTGGCTCTATTGAGGTTGCTAACTGATCTGTACAACTCACTGGCTTAACAACAAAAACAACTACACTAACCCTGAGCTCGAGTGAGCTCGTATTTAAGGGCTCAGTTAAAGTACTACGTCACATAACCGGTTTGGGCTAGGTCAAACTAGATTGAACCAGTTAGGCCACGCATGACGTAAAAGCTTGAGACAGGTGTTGACTTTMGGGATAAGTCAAAGCACTTACKCGCAAGACTCTCCCTAGCGAAACCGTCGATAGAGCTCGCTAGTTAAACTAATAAAGATCATTTTACAATTAAAATATGTTAAAGAATTAACTAAAACAGATCTAAGCAAGAGCTTAGCATTTGCACAATTGATTTGTCTATTCACAAACCATAAACATAAGGGAAGTTTAACTGTTAAAAATTTACTATTAAAAGAARGTCGAGCAAACAATTTCTTATTTCAAGAATGTATTTCTCTAGTATTTTCCCTTTTAACTAGTTTTCCCTTTSCACTGTAGGTGTTACAGGTGGAACACAATTGAAATCACATCCATCCTTACAGCATTTTAGCGGTAATCCATGGTGCGAAATAGTGCATTCCAAGTCGTTTTTACATTCATCATCTGGTTTTGGTGGACATTCATCAGCAAGAGGGAAGATTGGACAGGTACCATTGACTGTAGGTGTTACAGGTGGAACGCATCTGAAACTACATCCATCCTTGCAGCATTTTAAACTATAGCCCAAATGTTTGCAATCCGAGTCGTCTATGCATTCATCATGTGGTTTTGGTGGACATTCAGCAGTTGTAGGCATGATTGGGCAAGTACCAAATACTTTGTATAGACGTTTTTTGTCTAAATATTTACCAGTGGGCTTCTCCCCTTSAACTTGCCGAATCGTGCACTTTTTATTAATGCAGTTAACAAGGCAACACTTAACAAATGACTTCAACRCAGGATACTTTTCTTTGCAGTGTACATCGATGAAGCATTCATTTTCATAGTATTTACCATCACATCCATCATCAATTTTCCATCCTTGCGTAGGGGGGAAAATGGGGCAATACAATGGTAGTTTAACAGACTCAACAACAGGAGGAAAACACCCAAAATCGTTCCCATCACTACAGCATTTCAGGCCTTGTCCAGGGAATTTTTTATCACAACTGGCATCGTCTTGGCATTCTTGGTCTGGTCCCGAAGGATTCTGCCACGAGGGAGGGCTGGTGGGGCACTTTAAAACCAGTTTGGTAAGGATCTTCAATTTTTCATACATTTTTGCTGGGGTTACTTCTACTACGGACACTTTAGGAGACACACAACTGCTGCCGCARCCCTTACAGCACTTCAAACCTTTACCGGGATAACGTGCTTCACAATCCTGATCATTACTGCAAGAATTAACCGGGTTTGGTGGACAATCGGAAGAAAGACTCGGAGGGCATCTTGTTATTTTATATGAAAAACACTGGACGAGTTCAAGGTTCAAATGCGCCAATAGAAAAACCAACCAAACTATTATACACTTCAGGTTAGCCATCTTCTTGGTACTACAAAAAAAAATACAAGAATATATTGCAATTATTAATAATTGAAAAATTATYAGCTCTTCCGATGATGAGGGGAAAACTGGTTGAAAAAAATGAAATCGGAAAAATTGATTTTTTTTTTTTGTAATACGCCAAAGAGTGAAAAATTCATGTTTTGGTAAGCGAAGATCAAAATTGATTTTTGCTTTCCATTATTAACCAGCTTTCACGATARTAAAGTTTTGTAATGAAAAAGTACACGGAAATTCCGAGTTAGATAAAAGACATCCATGGCAATTTTCACTAAACCTGATATCGTGTTGAGTTATCTGTAGTTATTTTAAATTTTTCAAAAGCAACCAAAAAAGCGATAAAATGTCGACCATGGAGAAATTTGTGGAAGGATTTTCCAAGAACAAAACTGTGGGGTGGCTCTTATGGTGGGTCGTGTACACGTTACAAAATTCCTGAGCGGGAGAGTAGYAAGGTCGAAATTCGTTCTCGCCCGCCGAGTTCTACGCAGGTAACAAATTAGATATAACATGACAGAAAATTTTCTGCAAGGGAAAAATTAGAAATCATAGAAATCTTCGAGGAAAAGCCAAAAGTGTTTTAAGAATTAAATCCCCCAACGTAGGGGTCACTTTGATCAAGTTTTTTTGGAGTTCGAAGTTTAAAAGACGTGGTTTAAATTGTGCTGTTTTTGTAAAAGATGGCGACTGATGTAATTTCCTCCCTTGTCAGAGTATATATGCATACGAGCGASATCATATTGATTTCAGTTTTTACTCTTTCGTATTACAGAGGACAATTACGGATCGGGAAAACACGAAACAAATCATCTTGATAGATTTACCAGATCCTASATGTTTTTCCATGCAACAACACAAGTGTCGGAATCAGCTAACATAATCCAATACRGAAAAGGAAAAAATCTCGCTTTGATATTATTAAGAATCAATGGACAAATAACTAAAATATAATCTATGACTGATTATAATATAGCGCTTACGTGTTGACTCAAAATACCCCGAACTGATTTTAATTAAGCTTAACAGAGAGTGCGATGCTTTTAGAAAAAACTGAAATGGATGTTGCTGTTTTTTAAACATATAATCCAATACGGGTCATAATGATATAAACTAATCAATATATTTTACCTGTAGTCGAGTAATTCCAACAGTTGGCACACTGRCTCGTATGGTCCGAATCCCTTAGATGTCCGCACACTTACTTATATATCTGTGTATAGCGTAACTGATACAGTTAATCCTTCACCATATTTTCTGTGTGTTTGTAGATATTTTTCTTGGTCCCAAATATGACAAAACAAGGCATAATTTCACTGATATTTATGCTCTCATGCAGGTCAGGAATCTTGGCCAGGTCAGGACTAAGCAGGACTTACTATTTGATTACAGATCCTATAAAAATAGAAAATTTTTGATTTATTTTTGTGTTGTTTTGGTTTTCAAAACCGCTACTTTTCATTACTAGTAGCCAAACAGGATTTGTGACTAGAACATGATCCGTTATTAGTAGGTTAAGACAATAGTCMAGTTATGAAAACGTGCGGCACAGAGCTAATAATAAATATGTTTTATTCTATTCTTCAACAGCATAGCAAAATTCCAGCCTTTCAGAATGGCAAAGGATTTGCCAGTAGTAAAGACAATAGTTCTTTAAGAAGATATGATATAGTCTAGTGCTCAGTAAACTGACACTTATTTGCCAACCTGCAGCCTTTTACTTATTGGACGATAAATCAGACGAGTATACAATATAGACACTACGATAAAGCTTGACGTCCACGTACGCTGCGTGACACAGAATTATAACAGGGGCAGATCCAGGAATTTTAGAAGGGGGTAGGGTGACTATTTCAAAGGGGGGTGTGACTGTTAATAACGATACAGTGAGAAATTTGAGCTAGCCACCCCTGGATCCGCCCCTGCAAAACACCTACGTCATTGTAAGTGCGTAGTTTCTTTTCTTTTCTTTTTTTTTTTTTTTTTCCTCACAATTATATATATCCAAGCCGAGGCTTTGGTTAGTTTATGCGCATCCGTCGAAGTATCATTAAATTTGATTGCTTATATGTTTGAATTAGCCGTACCCTAAGTCTCTTCAAAAAWGTAATAGTAAAAGCAAATAGTAAAGAGGAAAACGTTTACTGACTTTCTGAGTGTGGTTTAATAGACCCTTTTCGAGTTCCAAATTACCGCTGTGTTTCTTGATTACAGACTCATTTGCTCAGGCTAAGCCTCGATTTTGTGTAGAATATTCACGTTTTCCAGTCAAGGTGCGTCAAGTTTCAAAGTGTTCGTATTGTTGAACTTGTGCATTCTTTACTTTACCGATGGTGTTTGCGAGTAATTAGACACTGATTCGAGGCTTAGTCTGAGCAAATGAGTCTGTAATCAAGAAACACAGCGGTAATTTGGAACTTGAAAAGGGTCTATTCATGAGAGCATACAGGATGTGTTATATCATGGATTCCCACTTGAGGTCTTGGCATTGATTGTGATATACGAGTCATATATCCATCAGCCCGGCATAAACTGGAACATTACAGTTGGATCTGTTATTCTCGGCCCATTTAAGGATCATGTCCATTTTTAGATCATTTGGCCGGCGTCAAAAAGGTCATGGATTAATTAGATATAATAATTATTATTATTCGCTTCACATTGCACGAACTTTTAAGATTTTAAACTGAACATTAGATATATAATTTAGACTTTGCGTATATTTACTAGCGTTTCATTTATCAGTATTAAAAAAAATGGAATTGAATTTGTAGTGTCCATAGCCATTTCCTATAAATAGCGTTTGTTATTTTCGGTATTTGTTGTGGTTTTTTTTCTTATTTTTTTTTTTCTACTTCATCAATTTCTGAATTACTTTAAGTGAACTTTTTTTGAGGAGTTTTTAGGTTTTAGTCTGCTTTGTAGTTGGCTACGATTTCCGCCCAACGGCCTTAAAGCCTAGGTCTGGCCAT